ACAGTGTGTTGGTTGGTTACAAATCTTTTGTGCATCTTCACCATACTCATAGCTTACAGTTTATCTCAATTCTTATATTATCGATCTAATATATATCTGTATTATAGAGCCTGAGTGGCGTAGGAGGCTAATGCCTCCTACTAAGGCAGCATTTAACATCCAGCTGCCTGCAATTACTGCGAGTTCAATTCTCACCAGGCTCAAGGTCGACTCAGCCTTCCATCCTTTCTAAGGTGGGTAAAATGAGGACCCGGTTTGTGGGGGCAATAAGATGACTTTGTATAAAATATACAAAAGTATGAAGGCTATTGCTTAACGCCTTGTAAGCTGCCCTGAGTCTCCGGAGAAGGGCGGCATATAAAAATAAATAAATAAAAAAAATATTATTGTCTTCATTAATCATTTATTTGACTATAGCTGTTCTTCCCTCATTTTGTACAAACTATTCTAACATTTAAGTTAATTTATATTATAACATTCATTTCATCATCCTAAATCAATCCAATAATAATACATCTTTATGTTATACTTTATATAATTCTACAATTCTTGTATTATAAAAACCTCCATCATATTTCATTTCCCTCCTCTTTTCTTTCTTGAAGGTGCCCTTCACATCCAATTTAATGAGGTCCTCGTCCTGTTCTAAAAGCTTTCTGTATTAAAAGCCAGCTCTTAGGAATATTGAATTTGCTAGCAAGAACCATGATCTTTGGGGGGGGAAGGTGGGGCGGAAAGGGGGAGAAACAATACAGGTAGTCCTTGACTTATAACAGTTCGTTTAGTGACCGAAGTTACAATGGCACTGAAAAAAAAGTCACCTATGACCAGTGGTTGAAATCCAAATATTTTTACTACCGGTTCTGTGGGCATGGCTTGGTGGATGTGGCAGGGAAAGGATACTCCAAAATCTCTATTCCCACCCCACTCCTAGGGGAAGGATACTGCAAAATCCCCATTCCCTTCCTACTCCTGGGGGAAGGATACTGCAAAATCCCCATTCCCTCCCCACTCCTAGGGGAAGGATACTGCAAAATCCCCATTCCCTCCCCACTCCTGGGGGAAGAATATTGCAAAAATCTCCATTCCCTCCCCACTCCTGGGGGAAAGATACTGCAAAATCCCCATTCCCAGCCCACTCTGGGGCCAGCCAGAGGTGGTATTTGCAGGTTAGCCGAAATACTCAAAATTTCCACTACTGGTTCTCCAGAACCTGTCAGAACCTGTTGGATTTCACCCCTGCCTATGACCATTTTTCACACTTACGACCATTGCAGCACCCCCCCCACCCCCCATGGTCACGTGGTTTACATTCGGATGCTTGACAACCGGTTCGTATTTATGACGGTTGCAGTGTCCTGGGGTCATGTGACCTTCTGACAAGCAGTGTCCACGAGGAAGCCAGATTCACTGAACCACCTGGTTGTCAGGCCTGGAAGCCATCTTTTGTGTTGGATCTTCAGGTCTGCCACATTTACTACTGTGGGAAACTGGGAGGGGGGATTGTATGGAGCGGGGTGATATGTAGTCATAATAACATTCCTTTCTCAGAAAGTCAAGGTCATCTTGCCCTGCACTTGGGAGGCTGGAACTGGGAGGGATCTCCAGTTGGGACGGTGCTTTGTTTGGATCATGTGATGGACTTGTGGGTGTTGGGCAGGGACTTGGACTTTCCTTTGGGTGGGCAAAATCTGGAAGGTCTGAGATTGGGGTTTTCCCAAATGTGCCAATATGACATCTCTAATAAAATGGAACTTTGAGGAAACTCAAGCCTCGGAGTTTTCTTTCGTTGGGGGTGTTGCTTGGAACCCTGACACAGGTTAATTTAGCATCTGCAGGGATTCACTTAACTGGGACAAAACTCGCTTAACACATTTCTCACTTAGCAACATAAATTTTGGGCTTAATTTTCTTCCATCTATGAAGATTCTCAGTCCTCCAGATCATGGTTTCCCAAGAGGCAACTGGGAAGTTTTAAAAACTTTCTGGCTTTTAAATTTTTCTTCTCTATACTCCCCTGCTCCAATTCTTATGAAAGCTGCCCTCTACATAGTAAATGATATGTAGCACTTCTACTGAAATATAGACTAAATTTACATTTCTAATATGCATTATTATATGGAACGATATGTTTGATTTTTTTAAAAAAGTAAAGAAGTCCCTGTGGATTTTACTCCACTCATGGTTGGAGGCAGTGCTTATCTATGTTTCAAGGCCATTGAGCCAATGCTGTCTGAAGACATTTCTGTGGTCATGTGGCCAGCATGACGTCATGGAAGGCTGTTATTTTCCCACCATAGTGGTACCTATTTATCTACTCACACTTGCATGCTTTCGAACTGCTAGCTTGGTAGGAGAAGTTTGATTTGGAGGGGTGTTGTGGCCCGCCAGCGGCCTGCGCGGATCGTAGCTGATCCCGACGACGAGGAGGCTGGTCTGGTGTCACGCCAGCAGCCTGTGCAGCCGGCGCTCGTGTCGGACAGCGAGAAGGCTGAAGAGGATGTGGTGCCAGAGGCAGAGACTCAGCCAGGGCCTCCAGAACCTCCTTCAAGTGGAGAGAGCGAAGTGGAGGAGCCTCTTCTCAATGCTCGAGCACGCAGGGCTGCCAAAAGGCAGGAGTGGCTACTCAGGAGGAGGAGGTCTCCTCGAGAGTAAGGCTTGAGGATAATTGGCCACTCCCTTAGCCTATTTAAGTCACATGCCGTTAGTAAGTTTCTTGCTGGAAACAACTTGTAATTATCATCAGAGCATTTTTGGAAAAGTCTTATCGTATTTTGCTTTCTGGGCTGGTTGCCAACCTTTGCCTGACTTTGGTTTATTCTTGCTACTTAATAAATTTGATAAGGACTGTTAGTGGAAATCCGGAGCTGGGGCAGAACAAGGGGTGGGGGAAATCTATGTGGTCTTCTGAAGTTATTTTAATTATTCTTAGGCCTAAAATGGAGAAGGGATGGTAATCACAGGATCTTTGTCTATTTAAAATATGGTGGCTATTTAAAATCCCATCTTTACTGCGAGAAGGGAGAAGCCTTAGGTCAAAAATTTCTGCTTTGCAAAAGCATCCAAATTCACCTGGCACTTAACTGAAGTTTATTCTAACGCTGTTGATCTAACATAGGATTTATGTTGTCACTTGTTAGTATTCTTGTCTTTAACCTTACTTTTTTTTTTTGTAATACATTATGAAAACTTCCTCTTTAATGTGGTGCTGATAGTGTAGGACTTGAGAATAAAAATCCCCCAACTTTTATTCACTATTTTCTACTTTCTGTACCTGCTCATTGATTAAGCCTTAATGAAAAATGCCTTCTTGTAATTAATGCACTTAAACATCACAAACATATCTTAGTTACATCTCATGTGGTCTTTGCTTCATTCCCAGTGCATACATGAGATATTTTTTTTACATGGTTCTTAGCTGAACTGGTGGTCCTAATCATACGCCGTCCTGCATGAACATTTATGTGCAAAATTGTGAACAGATCAGCAAATAAGTACGTTTTGATCCGGCCACGATTTTCCAGATTGTTATCTTTGTGTCTCCCTTACATAGATACATGACAAAACATCTAAAATCTTGCAGGATTCTGGTGTTTGGGTTTCTCCAGTAAGGAGAAGAACAAATTTTGATATGTCAAGGATGTCATTTTTGGATTCTAGCCTAGATAATCATATAGTTGTTCATAGGAAACAAGCAGCAACAAAATAAGTTGTAGGTAACCAATAATTAAAGGCAGCATTTAAAACCAGACACTTTAAAAAAACAAATAATTCTTTTACAAATCTTTCATTGATTATATATTTTAAAAAATAATGTTCCTTACTTTGTGATGTGTTTGTAATTATGAAAATTAGTAGTTGTTCAGAGAACCTGGGCCCAGAAAGTTATACACATTTACCTCCAGGCGTTAAATTCAATTTTAGAAAATGCTGTACCCTCCTTTCTTTTTAAAGGGCAGTATATAGATTCACAAATAAATAACATAACGAAATGCAGCAGCCTGAGCTGTTCAACACTGAACAACAGTTGTTCAGATACACTTTGAACTACTCCATCATTTTTGAGCTGCAAGGTTAAAGAGACTTGTGGTGCAAAACAGTTGAAGGCCGTTGACATAAACTGCATTCAGTCGAAAACGAAATATATTGCATTTGGTTAAAAGCACAAAACAGATGGAGGCCCTTCTGAAGCCACGCTTAAAGTATCCTGCTGGGTAGCTGCCATGCAGTTGTGGATTTTCAGTGCAAATTGGGTCTTGAATCATTCAGCAAGTCATGCTGAGTTGCCTGTCAGCTTACCTTGGGCGGAGTCTGAGTTGATTCTTACGTTTACTTCTTCTCTGGCAGCATACCATGCCAGAGAAGTGTGGAAGTTGGGTGAGAGAGAACATTTTCTCAATCTATTTCTCGTAAGGGTAATTTTGCTTGCAAAAGGAAACTTAAGAATCCAGACAATTTGAACTGGTTGGCCTTCCTTACCCAATGAATAATTGCATGCCCTTTAGATTATCTTGACTCCTATTTAACCCCGGTTGGCATAACCCTAGAAACAGTGGAATTTCTAAAGGCCACGATGGTTCTGTACTGGAGATAATTTATTATTATGTACACACAGTGGTGGGTTGCCTCCGGTTCGAACCAGTTCTATAGAACCGGTAGTAAAACCGGAGGGAGGCTTAGCCCACTGATTGGACTGTCATCTATCAGAAATGGTGTAGGATCTCCTGCTTGGGCGGGGGGTTGGACTAGATGACCTACAAGGACCCTTCCAACTCTGTACATCGTTGGCTGTTGTATTTGCATCTTTTGTAGCATGTATTTCAGTGACATCATCTCCATCCAATGCATCTGGAAGTCAGGCACAATGGAAAAGGATTTATTTTTTTTTATTGCTGGCACCAAGATGATGGAACTGTCCTAAAATGGGGTTTTTCCAATTCTTCTTTTCAGAGAATTATTTCCCCTTGCAGCAATCGTTTGAAGTTTGGCCACCTTCCAAAATGTTGTTGGAATCCACATGATTTCTGATCATACTAGCTGAAGACTGGCCAGAGTTGGAGCTCAACATTTGGGAGGATTGCATTTATTGAGGATTGGAGGTCTCTTCTGGATTTTCTGCCTAAAAAAATGTGATTTACGGTTTTGATAATTAAATAGGATAGATCAGAGGTCTTCAAACTTGGCAGCTTTAAGACTTGTGGACTTCAACTCCCAGAATTCTCCAGCTATGCTGGCTGGAGAATTCTGGGAGTTGAAGTCCACAAGTCTTAAAGCTGCCAAGTTTGAAGACCTCTGGGATAGATGATAGAAAGGAAAGCAACACAGGTAGTCCTCGATTTACAACAGTTCATTTAGTGACCGTTCAAAGTTACAATGGCACTAGCTAGTGACTTATAACCATTTTTCAGAGTTACAACCTTTGCAGTGTCCCCATAATCATGTGATCAAAATTCAGATGCTTGGCAATTGGTTCATATTTATGACGCTTGCAGTGTCCCGGGGTCATATGATCCCCTTTTGCGACCAGATTCACTTAATAACCGTCTTACTATTTTAACAACTGCAGTGACTCACTTAATAACTGTGGCAAGAAACTTCGTAAAATGGGGCAAAACTCACTTAACAAACGCCTCTTTTAACGACAGAAATTTTGGGCTCGACTGTGGTCGTAAGGTGAGGATTACCTGTATGATGTAACTTTAGAGATATTTAAAATATATTTGAACTTATCACTGCTGTGAAGAACATTGAAAGTGACATCTTTATAAAGACATTTTTTTCTTTTTTCAACTTTATTCTTGCTTCCCCCCCCCTTCTCTTTCTTTTCCCTACTTAATATTACTTTGCGTTATCGTCTCATTTCAAAGTTTTAATAAAAATTATGTCTCTTTTTATCTGCAGGGAGCCGGCAACTAATGACCACAATGGAGGCCGGAATTTCTATTATTAAGCAAAGTGGTTGCTAAGTAAGTTGTATGACTTTTTTTGTCGGGCTGGTTAAGGAAATCGCTGCAGTTGTTAAATGAAGCATGCGGTCATTAAATGAATCCGCTAGACACACACCTCCCTCCCCACACTGACTTGGCTTGGGAAGGTTGCAAGTGGTGATCCCGTGACTCCAAGACTTTCCCAATGTTTTAAATACATCCTGGTTGCCAAGCATCCGAATTCTGTTCATACTTAATTAATTTATATTGCCACCTATGCGACTCAAGGCGGGTTACGGGGATATAAAACCACATTTAAAAACAATAAAAACTAACAAAAAGAATCAAATAAATTAATATAGTACAATATAACAAATTCACCCCCCCACTGCACGAGCCATTGAATGGGTTCCATCCCGTTCTGGGTTCCCCAGGCCCGCTGGCAGAACCAGGTCTTCAGCGCCTTCCGGAAGAGTATTAGAGTGGGGATCGTTCTAATCTCTGGCAGAATGATGTTCCAGAGAGAGGGAGCCACCACGGAGTAGGCCCTTCTTCTGGGTCCCACCAGGTGTATTTCCCTCAGGGATGGGACCCGCAACATTTCCTGCCTCCCCGCTCTGATGGGTCAAGTAGATGTGACTGACAAGAGACATACGAGGATGCCGTGTTAATTCGCAAGCCACTTTTTTTTCAATGCCATTGTAACACTGAATGGTCACTAAATGAATAATTGCAAGTTGAAGACTGCCTGTTATATAAAATAAACATTTGGGTGGTTAATGGTGGCCTACCCATTTTAAAGCAGTCTTGCCAAGGAATAGAATAGAATAGAATTTTTTATTGGCCAAGTGTGATTAGACACACAAGGAATTTGTCTTTGGTGCATACGCTCTCAGTGGACATAAAAGAAAATACATAAAATAAGGGGACATATTATATATGCCAACTTTTACTTCCCGTCACTTTGGCCTTGGAGGTTAGTGATTAAACCAGTGTTTCTCAACCTTGGAAGCTTGAAGATAGGTGGACTTCAACTCCCAGAATGCTGGCTGGGGGATTCTGGGAGTTAAAGTCCACCCATCTTCAAGCTTCCAAGGTTGAGAAACACTGGATTAAACTGACCGGAAAATTTAGTATTCCAAAATTGTTTTGGTTATGATGGCTGGCTTTTATTTTGGAGTCACACATCACAAACCAGAGTTTGTTGAGTGAGCAACCACTGACTTGAGTTCACCTAACATGCCAAGAAAACACAAAGAACAATTTAAACAACCTTTTTGTTCCAAACCAAACAAGCCACACCGTGGTATGTAAATAAATAAATTACTGTATTCCAAAATGCTTTGGGGGAAAGAAGATGGGCCTGGATTTTTTTTTTTTTTTGTTAATTTTTATTTATTTATTTTTGTCAGATTTATATTGTATCTACTGTGTTACTCTCTGCACCCTGCCTTAAGTGGTGAAAAATGAAAACAGTATAAATATGTTGCAATGAAAACGGTCAGATGATTAAACCACCGTGTCTGCGACTTGCCAGCCCTCTTAAGTTCACGGTGCAAAAAGCTACCCAGTTGTGGTTTGTTGTTGCAACAAACCAGGATTCCATTTCCTCCTCCTGGCCCGGCCTGCGAGCTCTTGTGCTTTGCAATTATTATTTGAACCGTCTCCCAATTCAAATCACACACACACACACACACACACACACACCCGTCGTTCGGCTCAAACGCCTTCTCTGTGGGGGCACCTACTCTTTGAACCAAAATACCCCCTTGGAATACGAATGATCCCAGATCTTTCCACTTTCCGCCGTGCCCTGAAGACCTTTCTGTGGGTTGCCAGGTGTCCACTATTTGAGCGGACAGTCCGCTTTTTTCACATTATGTTCACTATTTTTTTTCACAAAATAATGGACTTTTTTTTATTCAAAAGCTTTATGATGCAATGGTACATAATCTAAAGCTGTACAGTCTTAAGAGAATAAGGATAGGAGAATCGCGTTTTGTCTTTTTTTTCATAACTTAGAATGAGACAAAGATCGAATATCCATTGAACTCGATTCTCCGAAAAAATTAATGAGATTGAAATAAAAATATATTATAAAATTATGTATAGTTCACATTTTTAAAATGTATTGTAGCTTGTGTCGACTGACCTAAAATGGCGTGTTAAAATGTAAGAAAATATATAATTTAATTGTAATTTTTTTTAAATTTTTTTACTACTTAACATCCCCCCCCCTTGTTTCAACAAGCAGGGCTAGCATAAACATCTAAATTCTATGCCAAGGTCTTAGCAGATACACTAAGTTGACTCAATTTATTATTTACTGTTTATAAAAAAAAATATTATATGTATATAAAATCTTCTGTTCACTGCCCTGAGTCCTTCGGGAGAAGGGCGGTATAGAAATTCAATTAATAATAATAATAACAACAATAACAATAATAATAATAATAATAATAACAACAACAACAATATAATAATAATAATTGAGTTGAGCGACTGTGGAAAAAGAAATCGTGTGTTGTCCCGATTGTAATTGGAGCCCTTGGAGCAATACCCAAAGGGCTACCCCGCTATTTAGAAATTCTAAATTTGCCGGACTTGAACATTTTGACTCTACAAAAAACCACCTTACTCGGAACAGCTTACATCCTCCGACGATACCTTAACAGTTCCTAGGTCCTTGGTTAGGACTCGAGCTGCTGAGCTATTAACCAGCCTCAAAGGCTGTGAATCTCACTAAAGATTAACTAATAATAATAATAATAATAATTGAAAGCCAAGGCGCTTTTTTTGCAACGGTGGAAAAGCATAATCAGAGGCCAGTGGGATCCCGGATCGTGTGGATGGGGGAAATTTTATTTATTTATTTATTTATTTTTAAATTTGTATACCGCCCTTCTCCCCGAGGACTCAGGGCGGTGAACAGCCAAGTAAAAACATAAACTACAAACATTAAAATACAATTAAAAAAGATATATATATATATTTGGCCCCATGATTAAAAACAATAACAGACAATTAAAAACATTTAAAAAAAGTGTTAGGCCAGCCTGGCTTGCTGGAAAAAGAAGGTTTTAAGGGCACGGCGGAAGGCACCGAGGTCTTGGATTCTCCTTATCTCTGGGGGCAGCTGATTCCAGAGGGTAGGTGCCCCCACAGAGAAGGCCCTGCCCCTGGGGGTCACCAGCCTACATTGTTTGGCTGATGGCACTTGTCCTTCCCCCCTCCCCATATCAAGATATTGCAGGCCGGCCAGACTGGCATTTTCCCAACTAACTAACCAACCAAAATAATAATAATAATAATAATAATAAAAAATCCAGCTCCATTGCGCTTTCCCAGACTCCAAACCCGGTGCCCTGACGTCCCCAATCCCGTTTTGGCAAGGGAAGCGCAGGCCTGGATCCCCGGGCGCAAGCAAGGCCCATTTTTTATTTTTATTTTTATTTTTTGGCCTTCCCGAGGATTTGTTGGCAGGACTGTAAGTCCCCTTCCAGCTCCCAGCCCGAGCCGCCCCAGCGGGCTGGCTTGGCCAGGAAGCCGCCGCGGCGGCAGAAGGAAACCCAGCTTTGTGTGCCAATGGCGCACCGGGCGCTGCGCTTTTACGCACGGCAATTGGCCGGCGGCTGGCGGAGAGGGGAGGAGTGGGGGGGGGGGGGGGGGGGGGGGGGGGGGGGAAGCGTTACTTTCCGAAGTGAACTTTCTCCTCCCCCCCCAACCTTCGCCCCCCCCCCCCCCCGTCGTCTCCTCCCCCCCCTCCCGCCCTCCCCGCCTCCCTCCCTCTCCACGGTGTCTCCCCTCCCGCAGCGGCCGCTTCGCCTTGTTTTTACGCGCGGATGGAACTGAGCTGCAGCGTCGCGGGGAGGAACGGCGGCGGAGGAGGAGGCGGCTCCAGCAACGGCGGGCAGACGACGGCCACGCCGGCCAGCCTCGCGTCTTCTTCCTCCTCCTCCTCTTCTTCCTCCGCCGCCGCCGCCGCCGTGGGGCTCCTGATGGACGGCGAGAGTCCCTGCGAGGAGGACTACGAGACCCTGCCTACCAACGCCTCCCTCTACACGCACATGACGGCCGGGGCGGTGGCCGGCATCCTGGAGCACACGGTCATGTACCCCGTGGACTCCGTCAAGGTGGGTCTGGGGGCGAGTCGGGGGGGGGAGAAAAGTGGGACGCGTGGGCCAGAGCGGGAGAGAGCCTCCCCCTTTCTCCTGGGGTGTCCCTGCTTCCCAGATCTTGCCGGACTACAAAGCCCATCGCTGCAGCCGGAGAAGGAGAGCCTACCCCAACGCATTTGGGTGGGATAGAGGTTTGGAGGGGGGGGGGGGCCCCCCCCTGGGGGTTCTTCTTTGCACACCCCCCCCCCCCCCACATCCTCCAGTTTCTCCTTGCACCCTAATCTTGGGTTTCCCTCTTTTTTGGGGGGCATTCCTACTTAGGGGTGCAAGAATTCACTTTAAGCGTTGGGGGGGGGGTTCCTGTAAAATATAACTTTTGGTTGGGGTAGAGGTGGGGTGGGGGGGAAGACCCGCTCCTGGGCATTCTTCTCTGCCACCCTCCCTTCCTCCAGGTTCTTCTTGCACCCTAATCTTGGGGTTCCCTTTTTTTTTTTTGGCATTCCTACTTAGAGGTGCAAGAATTCACTTTAAGCGTTGGGGGGGGGGTCCTGTAAAATATAACTTTTGGTTGGGATAGAGGTGGGGTGGGGGGGAGACCCGCTCCTGGGCATTCTTCTGTGCCACCCTCCCTTCCTCCAGGTTCTTCTTGCACCCTAATCTTGGGGTTCCCTTTTTTTTTGGCATTCCTACTTAGGGGTGCAAGAATTCACTTTAAGCGTTGGGGGGGGGGGTGTTCCTGTAAAATATAACTTAAAAAAAAAAAAAAAACCTAGGTCTGTGCAATTCTACAAATTGTAGTCAGGGATTGCGAAATGGCCCTGGCAGCTGGAGTTTGGGACAACCTGGTTTTGGGGCAGCGTTGATCCGCTCCAGGTTTATTTATTTATTGGTTCAATTTATTTGTCGCCCTTCTCCAGAGACTCAGGGTGGCTTACAATGCGTTAAGCAATAGCCTTCATATTTTTGTATATACCTGCTTAGTAGGGCTTTCGGGCCCCCCTCCTAAGCGGTGTTCTTTTTTTATACAAAGTCAGTTTATTGCCCCCCACAATCCAGGTCCTCATTTTATCTACCTCGGAAGGATGGAAGGCTGAGTCAACCCTCAGTCAACTGGTTGGGTTCCCCTCCCCCCACTCCCTCCCTCCCAGAAAGAGATCTGTTGGGCCACTTTTCTTGCATTGATGGTTGTCAGCAAATCTACTTCTGCCTTGAGTTGTGCTATCACACTCTTGGAAAAGGTATACAAATCGGCCCCGGGGCCTTGCAATAGTATAATAATCACATGCATTGCTAATTATGGGGTTGGAAGTTGGGGTGTTTCCAGATGTGGCAGGTACTCGGCAGCCCTTCGGTGGCTTCACCCAGGTTGGTGTGACGCGATGCTGGCCTTTCTCGGTCCGTGGGAGGGAGATTTGGCTCAAATAATCCCAAAGAGTCCTTCATTTGGAAACACACTTAAGAGATGCTGACTTGGTCGTACAGCAGATCTTTTTGACAAGCGTGTGGAGAAGAGCATCAGCTTCAGCCTAATTAATTGGGCATTATTAATCCCTGGCATTAAGAATTAACCTCATTAGTAGGCCAGCAACTGCAACTGTAGTAAATTTGTAAAGAGCTGGGACAATGCCTAGAAATACTTTGTGTAGACGTCCCTGTGTAGCATCTACGTGTTGAACTGGGCCCCAAATCTGGAATAAGCAGTAGCCGCCCTGAGTCTTCGGAGAGGGGCGGCATACAAATTGAATTAATTAGATTAAATTAATTAAATAACTCTGATCATAGATTCCTGACCATCCACCTTCTTTTAGCTGGAAATGATCTCTTTTCTGGTGGCACAAATTGCTTACTCATCTTTCCTACCTTGTCATTTTCGGTAGGGCTGATCTCACACACACACACAATTTCTAAATAGTCCAGTTTACCCATTTGGCACCAACTGTTCTTTCAAAATATTGCTGAAGGTTGTGTGTGAGCTGCCTTATCCTATTTTTTTTTTTGACCTGTACACTTATGTCTGTGTTTTAGGCCTTGCCAGCATAGTCTTCATTTCCAAGGAACCGTTTATGGCTCTATGCCCCATAAATGCATTTTCATTTTCATTTCTTTGAAACGCAGATGGTCTGAGAATTCAAGTTCAAATTGCGATGTGGTGAATTCTGTAAACTCTAATCCTCCCAACCCATCTGCCGGGCATCGGGTTGGGAAAAAGTGATCTGATATAGTCAGATCACTTTTAAGGACTCACAGCCCAAACTAGTGAGACAAGGCAGACCATCAAGTCAATAACGTCACTGCTGCTGTTTGCAGCTAGGCGATTCCTGGTTGAGCAAAATTGGGGTAGATTTCTGAATTGCTTAACTTAGGCTGAGTTCCCTTAGCTTCAAAGAAAAGGAAGCTTGTGTTTCTTTCCAAAAAAATAAAAAAAAATAATAAAAAATCAATGCTTTCTTCACCTAGCTGAATTTTTGCAATAGTGGCAGTTAGGTGTTTACATGCTGTAACTCCTCCAGCAAAATGCGGTGTGAGAAACAGCTTAGCTTCTACCGCGGAATTGCCTTGCGTGGACGGGCAACAGCGGGGAGCCTAATAACACCATGGGCGTGGGTCCGGTACGACAACTTTCATTAAGAAAAAATGTGGCAATGTGCTGCTCAGTTGCATCAGGAAAGGCCTTGAGGTTTTGCAGGTGGATTTCACCTGTAGCTCAGGACAGGGATAGGAGGAGGAAGTCAAGTCATGTTGTTTTCCTTTTCTCCTCCCTCGACTGTGCTGCGTAGTGCGTGGTGAGTCCGGTAGTATTTCAATGCTGGCTTCAGGAATTCCTTCCGTCACACCACCTAATTCTGGTGCTAGAGCAGGTTGTTACCGGGTTGTGTTCTCAGCAAGATGAATTCGCTGTACATTAGCCACCGTTCCACAAGACATCTGCGTCTTTCATTTAAAAACAGGTTCCGTGGCTTGGGTGGTTGAATTCTGCATTCACGACTCTTTTCTTAGAATCCTATCTGGATTCTTCCTGCTGTTGATCCAAACTTGGGAAGTGTTGGCTCAGCTGCAAAAAAGTATTTTGAGTCTTGGGGTGTGTGGGGGGGTGTCTCCCTTTTTTTTTTAAAGTTTTTTTTTATTTTTTAGACAAACAAACATTTAATACATCAGTCATTCCTTCCATGTGACATCTCGGTCTTGTCTCCAAAAATTCTTCTTTTTGTTGTTCCTTCTATCTTCATTCTCGCCAAGTCCATTACAGCAATTCCTCACTAACACAGTATTCTAATTATAACACTTTTTATACATAACTATTAATTTAGTTACTTGTATCTCTTTTCTAACCAGTGGTAAAAATTGATTCCATATCTTAAAAATATTCTGAATCTTCTCTTTCTCTAATCATCAATTTATTCATTTCTGCACAGCCTAATTTTTTTTTTAAATTACTTCTCCTTCCAAAGGTATTTTTCTCTGCTTTCCAATTTTGTGCATAAACAATCCTTGCAGCTGTTATTACATGTATAAATCAAATAAATATTTTCTTTACTAGTTTTTTTTTTAAATTTGATTTATATGCCGCCCTTCTCCGGAGACTCAGGGCGGCTTACAATGCGTTAAGCAATAGCCTTCATCCTTTTGTATATTTATACAAAGTCAGCTTATTGACCCCACAAACTGGGTCCTCATTTCACCTACCTTAGAAAGGATGGAAGGCTGAGTCAACCTTGAGCCTGGTAAAATTCGAACCTGCAGAATTTTTTTTTCTGGGAGGATGTCCAGTAGGAACAGCTCTGGTTTAAAATCAGTACGTTGCTGTATCATTTCTTCCGGGGGGTGGGTGGGTGGGGGGGGGTGGGGGTTCCCCTCTTAACGACATGATATCAGGGAACCTCTTTGGAGTTTGCTCCTAATTAAGGAGGGGTGTGTATGTGTCTTCTTCCAGTAATTCTGTGCTCCCCCCCTTCTCAGTTAAGAAAAGCAGGTGGCATATTAAATGTGGAATCTTGCTCCTGAGGTCACAGTCCCTTTGTATCCTTATTGTGTGTCTCTTAACAGGATCAGCCTGTTTCTCTCTTCCAAGTATCAAGTTAATAGCGAAGCTTGTTCAACTGGGTAGCCAACCTGTGGATTAAGCCCGTGAACACCTTTGTGGTGAGAGAGAGACATAATTGGCAGGGGAAAAAAGAAAAAACCCACCAGGGCTCTGCTTTGCTGTTAAAATTGCTGACACCATGTCAGTCTTTTCAGGATGACAAATTGAGCAGGAAGTGGGAGACTACTGGAATGCAAGCACAAACTTGGGGGGTGACAGCGTGAGTACGAAAACGGCATTTGTGCCTGAGCTGGACTATTGAACCTGTGTGTCGAGAGTCTGTTTTTCCTCGCCAGTGGGAGTCTGAGGTCTCATCCCCCCCCCAATGAGCTACCATACTTTTCGGAGTATAAGACGCACTTTTATCCCCCCTAAAAGAAGGGTGGAAATGTTGGTGCGTCTTATACACCGAATACAGCCATTTTTGGCCTCCCGAAACCGCACCCCGTGCGTCCCGTTTTCACGAAAAACAGGCCCGTTTTTCGCAAAAACGGGATGCGCAGAGGGTTTGGGAGGCCTGCAGAGTGCTCCTGGGGGCTGGGGAGGGCAAAATCTTTTTTTTTTTCTTCTTTACCTCTTCGAAATCTTGGTACTTCTCCGGTGCGTCTTATAGTCCAAAAAATACGGTAAATCACGCTTTTGTTGGTTTGGAATCAGGTCAGTGGTGAAATCCAATTTTTTTTACTACCGGTTCTGTGGGCGTAGCTTGGTGGGCATGGCAAGGGAAGGATACTGCAAAATCTCCATTCCTTCCCCACTCCTGGGGGAAGGATACTGCAAAATCGCCATTCCCTCCCCACTCCTGGGGGAAGGATACTGCAAAGTCTCCATTCCCACCCCATTCTGGGGCCAGCCAGAGGTGGTATTTGCCCGTTCTCCGAACTGCTCAAAATTTCCGCTACCGGTTCTCCAGAACCTGCTGGATTTCACTCCT